TGTAATGCTTTCTTCATTTGTCTGCCCCTATAACTGATGGTTTTGTTTGCGTGGGCTGGACTTCAGACCGAGCCAAGACCCAATCGCTCTTCCTTCTCTTTTGAATACATGCATTCAGCCCAACTTATTACTCTCTTCTACTAAATAGAAAGTCTTGAAACGCTACAGAACAACAAAAAAATGGAGCCCTTCAACACGATTTCCCAAGCATTTGGAGTGATTAGCACCACTGTCACGACATTAGAGACGAAAATTCTTTACAACTTGGAAATAGGTCAGCAACCTCTATCTCATCCCCAAGCTTTGCGAGGAGTCTTTTAGGCGCCTGATCCAGCATTGTGACGAAGGTGTCCAAGGTATGCATGTAAGCGATGGGAATAGTTTAACCTGACTAATTACGACATTCTGACATTACTGATAAACAACACGAAAAGGGAAATACAGGCATGCATTGATCGTGGAAAAGACAGCAACAGAAATACCAAGCCTTTTCCGCCTTGGAATGCACTTAGTTCAACCAAAACTTGGATGAGTAATCAAGGTGGGAATAAAACTTTAATTCTAATAACACAAGCAAGACTGTCTAGTGACTTTATGGTCCACAGTGGTGAGCAGACGAGCACTGACTCACTGGCATGGTCGCCTTAAGCCTCCAGCAACCGTATTAGGCGCTAACAGCCAAAATGTAGGTCTCCCCAACCATTTAGTCATTGGTTAGAGATATGAAGTCGGTATTGTGAGGTTCTGCTTTCGCTCACCTATGGCCAAACGATCCAAGTGTTAATAATTAGTACCACTGAGGTAATGCACCAAAGCCCTTTTACTTCACACCGGAAACGTCCAACATGAACATCGAAAGGAGGCTACAAGGCTAAGTGCATCACCCATTCACTGCATAGAAATGTCACGGAAGGGCGACATTTAGTGCGAATGGCTAAATCAGGTCAGTAGAAGAAAATGGCTTTGCGATCATTACAAGCAGAGACAAGAAGGAGTAATATAGCGAGGGAAGGGTGTGTAACTGTTTAGGAAATGAACCAAGCCTATGATGTAGCCGCCAGCTTTTGTGCGTAGTTAACTAACGAGTTCAAACAAGAGACCGAAGTGAAAATGAAAACAAAAAAACCCTAACATAATTGCATTAATACACAAAACACCTTACAAATACAAATGACTTCCACAGAAGTCTAAGGAACGCAGCAATATTAATGTATCTGCGAGAAATTCCGCCTTCACACGAATTACATGCGTTATAGTGCACTGACCGAGGCTAAGTTCCCTCGCCATCCTCCTCGCCCCCTCCCCCCCTTTCCCCAAAGACAGCGTGATTCTATACCAAGAAATGGTCATGACTTCGAGAGCTCCACCAGCGGGCTACAAATGAACCGGTCGCCCGGTAACCACAGTCGATGGGCTGCACCGAACGATGACCACAGTTGTTGAGATTTAAGGCGTCATAAATCACTATGACCTCGCAAAAAACCCCAAACATACACATCCGCCCCCATAGACAGAAAAGAAAACAGACAAAAGGGACAAAGATGCAAAAAAAATGTTAATGAAATGCAACGATAAAAGCGCCTGTTTAGCATAAACTCGAGACCCTCCTAAGAGCAAAGCAAATTACAACCAGCAAACCAAGCTTTGAATACATTAATTTTGTCCACTTGAATAAACATTGTTGTGGTGGCGGTTTTTAACCTTCGGAATGCGAGTTTTTGCCTCACAAAAACATGCCACTACGCCCCACAAAAAAATCCGTCTAATAAAATTAGGAACTTATCGCTCAGCTCCCTTGATAAAAACGCACCGAATACAGCCAAAGCTTTATTTGGAAATCCTAAAAGATTGTGTTTACTTCACTGTACAATGAACAGCGACTGTGCAAGCGATGAGGGTTGGTAACTTGTTCAGCTGCAAGGGTGCAACAGACCGGTCACATGTTGTGCTGATCTTTCCAAAAAAAAGGGAATTCTGCCCTATTGCAATGGTACAAAATCTGTGCATGCCATAAAAGGTGCTGGATCCAATTCTCCTATACACTTGCAGCAGAACTTTGATGCCTGATTTGATTTACCCTCAACATTAGCGTGGAGGCAGACTTGAGATACGGCTCATCCCAACGCCCTGGGGATGAGTCGTGACAGCGTTGGCAAAACCGCCTCAGAAATGAAAGCCTTTGACCTTGACAAATGTGACATATACCAAGGACATTCACAGGAGATAAAGGTCAACAAAAAGGAGTTTGTTAAGCCACGTTCAGGGTGTTTTCGAACAAGACTTAGGCCAGCAGAACTCCTCACGACTGTGCCGTTAAACGGACGGTGATTAGACAAACACCAATGTTGCAAGCTGTAGAGAGTGAGTCCAATTGATGAATGCTCGGGGTGGATGAATGAGGGAAGGCAAAACTCCAAAGCACTGCCTCCTATTGATGTGTTTCATTCCTAAATGCCTTGCCTTCAGAGGGTTGTGAAATGGTTTCTAATGCGTTTCCAGCCAAGATTACTGAAGGATAAATAATATAGCCACGCCTCGTTTCCACTTGATGGCCGGCACAGAAGTGAGTACTGAGAACGGAACAACACCGTAGCCAATGTGAATGCGTTGCACAGACAACTACCAATTGCCAACTACGTCTCCAATTTCCAATGCTTTAGTGTGCCACTAACAAGCCACTTTAGATGCATGTGACCCGTGAGACCGAGCACAACCATGCAAAAACTGAAGTTAAGCAACTACCAAAAAGGTGGAAGTCAAGTTAAAAACAAAAGTTGAGCAATGAAGAGGGAGAAAAACTCAGTCAAACATACTCCTTTACAGCGTCACCAGCCTCCCTCGCCTCGCGGCAGTTGGAACTTCCGGATGGTAATAGGCGCTTTTTGCTCTGTGGCACGGGTGAGGGAGAAAAACGATATTTATGCGACTTGGGAAGAGAGGTTGGAGGTAGGCAGAGCTGCTGACAGGAGGCATGACTCAGTCTTATCGCGGCCACCTGAACCCAAAGGCTGAGCTGACCTCTGCGACGGAGACTGGGAGAGGAGGGATCGGCCGCAGCACCTGCAACGATGTTAAAAATCTTCAGGCCTCGGTTGCTGAGATGGCATGGAAACACACCTGAATTGATAAGAATACGTGCGTTCGGTTCTAACACCGCACGAACCTCAAAAATCTGATTACCTCAAAAATAATGTAACACATAGAGAAGCAGGACGAACAAGAAAGCATGGCCAAAACCGAAGCAAGTGGCAGGACGAAATTAAGGTCAGGCCACAGTCAACTTTAACATGTGTTATGTGCATACACCGGTCGAGCATTGGAGAGTGTAGTTAACTGCGGAAAAACCTGAAAAATATTCACCAGAACAGAAATGGAAGTCGCTGCATGGATGTTTGCAACAGCACAGAACTCGCGCAACTCAAAACTCCGTTAACAATGCTAGACCAAAGTGAGCAATTCGAGAGACAGACGCAATGGTGTTATGTCCTTGCAATTTTACGACCACCTAGAGCCGGTTCAGAGGCCTCATTACACTTTGGCTGGCCGTCAACTTTATCACTGCGGCGAGCCATAGATCATGTGGGTTGATACTTAGAGTCTCAGTCCAATGTGTTGAATTTCGTGTTTCTATCCCAGCGAAACGTTAGGATAGCGTTGTTTGATAAAAATAAAACAATGCTTTTACATAACCTCAGAAACA